GAAAGAAAGAAAGAAAGAAAGAAAGAAAGAAAGAAAGAGAGAGAAAATAGCCTATGTTATCAGACTGTTTTCTTACTGTTTGGTTTTGAAAACAGCCTTTATTGAAAGTCTCAATTCTGGACTGATTTGTAGGCTTAGTCTGTGATCAGAAAGTTGCTTTAGTATTTGTAATAACATTAGAACATTTTCTTATGGCACTCTTAAAATTATTTTAGCCCTGGTTGCTGCTATGAAACAGCTATGACAAGATACTTTTACCATGGCCGAACAGAGACTATGCGATCTTGTACAATGGAGGCGGTCAGGTGGTGTCAAGCCATGCAAGATCCCTCTACCAGTGTGAGTATTGGAAAGAAAACTCACAGGACTGGCCTTTGAATTATTACTATGATGATAATAATGTTACTTCTATTCCCCTGTATTATTTTAAGGCATTTTTCCTTTGCAAAGTATTAATTTGCTCTGGAAGACTAGGCATCAGATCTGAAAAGCCCATGTGTATCATTTTCTAAACCAGACATCCTCAGGACTGAGTTTTTCAGCACTGTTGATGTACCTTTAGACCAGCATCAGTACAGTGCAGATATTTCAAAGACCTTTAGAAGGAGGCTTCTCATCATTTTAGCTGAATGTTGAGTTCTTGATTGAAGTATTTTGTTGTTTTTTGTTTTTTTTTTTTAAATATTTTAAAGCATTTAGACAACATTGTGTTTCTTCCCTGTTATTTGGAAATTTTTCCTGTTTTAGTTTGGAGAGACACAATTATGTTACAGGGATTGTTTGTAGTTATGTTTTAATTTTGAAATTCCACTTTGTTTATTAATATTACAAGTGTTTCAGATCAAGAGTCTCAAAGCACTACTCTTTGCAATTTCAGGATATAAAGAAAATAAAAAATGAAGCCTTATGGGAAAGGAAAGGCAACAGGATTAAGGGAAAAAAAGCATTCGTCACAGTTCTATTCAGGAATCTTTTCTCCTTTTCTCCACTACCCAGTTATAACATAATGAGATTAGCCATCTTTTGTTGCTGTTTCTTTGGGTTTTAAATAGTTTGTTATTGACTTGATTTACATATTTGTTTTGAAAATTACTGTTTCATTCTTGACACAGCTCCTCGAACGACAGCAAAAGATGTTACAAGCTTTTGCAAAGCATAATAAGATGATGAAAGATTGTTCAAATGGAAAAGGTACTTAAGCTTAAATTGTTCTTGTTTAAAAAAAATCTTAGTATAGTTATCATGTATTATGTGGTTAATGTTTACTTATAAGTGAGTATATACCATGCATGTCTTTCTGGTTCTGGGTTACCATACTCAAGATGATCTTTTCCATTTCCATCCAGTTGCCTGCAAATTTCATGATTTCCTTGTTTTTAATAGCTGAGTAGTATTCCATTGTGTAAATGTACCACAATTTATCCGTTCTTCAGTTGAGGGACATCTGGGTTGTTTCCAGATTCTAGCTATTATGAATAAAGCTGCTGTGAACATAGCTGAGCAAATGTCCTTATTGAATGGTGGAGCATCTTTTGGGCATACGCCCCAGGAATGGTATAGCTGGATCTTGAGGTAGCACTATTCCCAATTTTTTGAGAAAGTGCCAGATTGACTTCCAAAGTGGTTATACAAGTTTGCTCTCCCACCAGCAAAGGAGGAGTGTTCTCCTTTCTCCACATCCTCGCCAGTGTGTGCTGTCACATAATCCACAGACCTAAAGAACATAAATAACAAGGAGGACCTTAGGGAGGATGCTTAATTCTCATGCAGAAGTGTAAATAGAATAGACACTGGAAATGGTTGAAGAGAGGGAACAGGACAGGAGCCTACCATAGATGTCCTCTAAAACACTCCACCCAGTAGGGATTGAAGCAGATGCTGAGACTCACAGCCAAACTTAGGGTAGAGTGCAGGGAGCCTTATGGGAGATAGAAGGACCCAGAGAGTACAGGAGCTTCATAAGGAGACCAACAGAGCCAACAAATCTGGGCCCAGGGAGTCCTGTAGAGACTAATGCACCAACCAAGGACCATGATTGGAGAGGACCCAGACTCAGATGTAGCCCACAGACAGCTCAGTCTCCATGTGGGCTCTCTAGTAAGGGGAGCAGGGGCTGTCTCTGACATGGACTATGTTGCCTGCTCTTTGATCACTTCCCACTGGCGGGGCACCTTGCCAGGCCACAGAGGAAAAGGATGCAGGCAGTTCTGATGAGACTTGATAGGCTAGGCGAGGAGGATTCCCTTTTTCTGTGCACTAGGGGAGAAGAGGGAGGGAAGGTAGGACCAAGAGGAGATGAGGGAAGGACCAACAATTGGACATAAAGTGAGTAAAATATAAAAAATAAATTTATTAAAAACATCTTTTATTGGAAGCTCTTTTTTCTGACTTCAGGTTTGGGATTTCATTGCAGGATTTGACCGTCACCTTTTAGGTCTTTTGCTCACAGCAAAAGAGGAAGGTCTCCCTGTTCCGGAACTGTTTGAGGACCCACTCTTCTCCCGAAGGTAACTTGGTGTAATAGTCCACCATGAGCATGACGTGCTCCTCTCTGGATGTTAAAAGGAATGCAGCGTCTGCGGTCTAATGGGATCTTGTCTTTCTACCACACAGCGGAGGAGGCGGAAATTTTGTTCTCTCAACAAGTCTGATTGGTTACTTACGAGTACAGGGAGTCATGGTTCCCATGATACACAATGGGTACGGATTTTTCTACCATATCAGAGACGACAGGTGAGCCTACTCCCCTTTATTCCTAGGGTAGAGTAAGAACTGTACTGCGTGTATGATTTTAATATTTTTCTACGCTGTGATTTTACTCATGTTACCTGTCATTTGCTACAGGGCTAGACTCCCTGTCACCTGGGTATTTAGCATATATTGATATTTTTCTACTCTGCTTTTGAGATCCTTGTAAAATCACTCTCTGGGGACATGTATACAGAATGATATTTGGGGATGTTTCAATAACTATGTCATCATCTTTGAAACATGTACATTAAAAAAATATATTTGACCTATACAAGGTATTTTTGGCAAGTCAAAATTTGTAAAAAAAATATGTGGTTCTCCATTTGTGTGGGTCTCTATCCGTGGACTGAAGTCAGGCTTGAGCACTTTATGGGAGATGCAGAAAACTGTGTGATAGTATGTATAGGACATTAGTATTTTAAGTTTCAGTGTTTTTTTTTTTTTCGTATGTTTTCTTCTGAAAATTTTTATTATCTGCCTTCCTGTTGTCTGATTTGTGCACAGTTAGTTATATAAGTGACAGTTGTCACTGTTGTCCTCTGAAACCCTGGATTGCATATCACAATAGGATTCAGTTTGTGTGTATTAATGTACAAATTCAAACTTACATAACAAATTATATATGGATCTTGCAATGATCAGAGGAATAGTTGAGTGTAAATAAGCATTTTAACATATTGCCTGACAAGTAGGTTCTGTGATACCTAGTGACATGAGGCTGCTCGTGGTCTAATTGTCACCAGGCTTTGTATCATCTATTAAGGCAAGGATCCATAGCGTTGTGCAAGTGTGTATAACTGTGGCTCTGTCTTTTTGTGTCAAGTTATGTATACCTACCTTCATCAAGAATTCACAGTTTAGGGGTGAGCAGCCAGATGGAACACCCAGCACCTGAACTTGAAACCTGTGCTGTGTATTCACAGGTTTGTTGTAGCTTGTACAGCCTGGAAATCATGTCCGGAGACTGATGCGGAAAAGCTAGTGCAGATGACTTTTCATGCTTTCCACGACATGATGCAGCTGATGAACACTGCTCATCTCTAGAGACTCAGAGATACACACAGATCACAGAACCTCGGTACGGAGAACAGGATGGTGACATGACATGGAAGGAATGTTAACTGAAAGGAAACTTGTTAAATGTAGGGATTAGTAGATGATCTGTAGATTTATTCTGCCTTAGAAGATAGAAACATCTTAAAGCTTCCTGTGTTGCAACAACAATGCAAAGTCAGACATAGTGAATTCAGAACTATGCAATGTTTAATATAACCCTCAACAATGCAAATCTGTATATTTTAACAATGTAAATCTACCCTAATGTCAAAATATCTTTGTTGGCACATGTATTGGTTGCAAGTCCTCTATGAACATAATTGTAAAGTCTACTTTTTACGCACTTTAATATTTTCTAATTGCCAGAGGGCACAAAGCACATGGCTAGATGCTAATTTCCCTGGAATCAGTGCCTTCCACACCCAGCACAGGAATACAAGCCTGTTTATTAGGTTTCCTAGGAAAACTATTACTGTTCAATAGTAATCTAAAATAGCTCCTTTAAACAGAGAAAAGAATCAAGTTGTATTAGAAATGTTTACACTAACACAGAAAACAATCTTAGCAAAACTCATGATATGTTAGAATTCATTTTGGGAGTATAAAATTAAAGCACTTCCATTTAAACTTTCAAAGGATTAAATTTTGAATATGATTCTCAGGACTTCACAGTTGTTTCCCATTGTTATTCAATTATGTGGTTTATATTATCAAAGAATAAAACATCCAGAATCCTATAGTTTCTCATCTTATTATTTGGGGAGGTGGGAGATGGAATTCCTGTTCCCTTTTTCTTTCTTTCTTTCTTTTCTTTCTTTCTTTCTTTCTTTCTTTCTTTCTTTCTTTCTTTCTTTCTTTCTTTCTATCTTTCTTTCTCTTTCTTTCTTTCTTTCTTTCTTTCTTTTTTTCTTTCTTTCTTTCTTTCTTTTTCCCCCATATCAGCTAAATATTGTATAATAAACCACTTAAAACTTAGTGTCTGGGCTGAAGAGGTAGCTCAGACTGTTCTTCCAGAGGACCCAGGTTCAATTCTGTGTGGATGGTAAACCTGGAACACTTGTAAAAGATGAAGAGTGTGTAGCACACTTTTAGAAGTGAATGTAAGAACTTTCTAATCCCTGAGCAGGGAGATGGGAAAGCCTATGTTTGGGAGGGGATCTCACATCTTGTAGTGTGTACTCAGGCTGCTACAGACTGAAGCCATCTTTGGAAGTGAAGTATTTTAGACTGGTCCAGAGGTCAGAACCTCTTGCACATTCCTCTCTGAAATTACAGATGTTACTGGCTTGGATTAGCTACCTGTGGATCCAATGTGGCACAGCAGAATGTGCGAACTGGGAGATGGGACACTTGTCATCTGAGACCAAGGTCATGATCAGCAGTTTGTAGAACTGACCAGGGTTAGGACTGGAGACAGGTGTTGTGCCCCCTACCCCCACCCCAGCTCCCTGTGCCGCGCTATTACAAGGCACACTGGATCACTTCCCCTAGCTCATGCCGTGCTCTCAGGTCCCTGCTAAGGGAGGACTGAACAACTCAGTAGCTCCCAATGTTGATGGGTGTGCGGAGCTATAGAAAGGAGGGTGTTCCCAAGGCTGTTACTTTTTATTTTGTTTTTGAGATTGGGGTCTCTATGGTCCTAGGTGTCTGGGAACTCACTTATGTATACTAGACTGGCCTTGAACTCATGGGACTCCACCTCCCTCTACCTCCTGAGTACTGAGATTCAAGGCATATACCACCACAGCTTGCTCCAAAGCAGTTTTCCTCAGCTCTAGCCAGAGCCCTCTTTTGGAAGGTCACTAACACAAAAGTCGCAGAGAATTCCACACTCTTGCTGTTGCTGCTGTACCTCACTCAGGTGTCTAACTGATAAGGTAAGAGGAACAAGGTTTCCACTGCTTTTCTGATCGTAGGGGAGTCTGAGGAGCCTTGTCCAGTTTTATAGCTCCAACTTCTCTTGTTTCTTGCTGCATGTTACCACTGAAGGAGTCAAAGACTGAGGAAAACCCTAGCTCCAACCATCACTCTGCCAACATAAAGGCCCACGTAGGGCAAAGTGGAGCAGTGCCCAGTACCAGCCCCAGTCCTGCTCCTGGATGCTCAGTGCCACTTCAGGGAGGAATACCATGGTACCTCCTGTCACGTGCACAGTCCTTGCTGCCTCCCCACCATGCACATCAACACAGCATCTGCTGTCAGGATGCGCAAGCAGTGCAGAGGGAGGGCTGTGTTTCCTGTCAATACCATAACCCATTCAACTTCGTTCTGTATCTGGACCACTGACTGACTAGTCCGAGAAGTGCCTCCGTAGCTTCACCACTGCTGAGGCGGTCACTGCCTGAGGCCCTCGCTAGTAGCAGAGGTGGCAACAGCTCTGCTAGGGGAAATGCCCCATTGGTCAGAGAGTCCACTGCTTCCATTGTAAGGCTAGCCACACAATGGGCACCTCATAACCAAAACCTGTACCACACTTTCTGGACTGTTAAGTGTCCCTACTTCAAATGTCCTACAACTCCACCTAGGTAAACATACTGTCCCCAAATCAAACCCAGCTAAAGAAGCCATCTGAGACAGCACTGTGGTGCCCACCTGGAATTTAAAGAAATCTGTTTAGCTTCCTATAAGCCTCCTGTACATGAATATTCATGTGTTTCCTAAGATTAGGGATATTTTCTATTATGACTTAATTCAATAGGTCTTTCTACCATCATGAAAATATGTGGAGTATAAATCCCACTAGAGGAGAAGATGCACACAAGATGGGGGGAAAATCAAACATCTTGGGGCCTGGAGAGGTGTTTCAGAGGTTCAGAGCACTGGCCACCCTTCTAAAGGACCCAAGGTCAGTTCCTAGCACCCACAAAACAGCTCACAGTCATTTGAGTCTGACAACCTTTCCTGGCCTCCGAAGGCAGTAGGTAGGCATGTGGTGTTCAGACACACATGGAGGCAAAACACACATGCAGCAAATAACAATAAAATTACAAAGCTTGAAGAATTAAACATTTTTAATATAATGAACACTAGACTAAGCTGGGTGCGGTGATGCACACCCGTAATCCCAGCACTCAGGGAAGCAGAGGCAGGTGGATCGCTGTGAGTTCTAGACCAGCCTGGTCTACAAAGTGAGTCCAGGACATCTCGGGCTACACAGAGAAACCCTGTCTCAAAAAAAACAAAAAAAGCAGATAGATAGATAGATAGATAGATAGATAGATAGATAGATAGATAGATACTAGATAGATACTAGATTATAAAAAGGAGTGTTCAAGTAGATAATAAAAGGAGTAAGACCTACCTATCGGTAATAATAACCCCGAATATAAGTGAAGGAAAGTTTCTAATTCAGAGATATACACTGGATAAATTGAAAAATACAAAAGAAAAGAATCACAGGCAGGGAAAGGAAGCTAACTGCAGACCTTCACTCTCCCTCTGCTCCTCCAAATCCAGTCCTTCAGTCTCACCCCTAGCTCTGCAGGAGACCGCCTGCTGAGGTTTCCCTGCTCCCTTCTCCCTCAGCTCCAGTGGCTTACACATATCTTCCCCTCCTGTTTTCCCTCCCCACACTCATTGCTTTATCCCAGCCTCCAGCTCCAACAGGCATTCCCTGGGAACCTGCAGGCCACTCCAGCTAGTAAAGCAGGTAGGCTATCTAAGCCCTTCACTCTCCCTTCTCTTCTCCAAGGCTGATCCCTGAGTCACATCCCCAGCTCTGTAACAAACTACCTGCTTCAGCTTCTCCTTACTCTCTGGCCCATTCCCAGGGAACTAAGCAGATCTTGCTGGAACACCCTGCTTCCCCATCCCCTTCTCAGGCCCTGACAGCCCATCCCAGTTTCTAAATGTCAACTCCCAATATCTAAAAACACATTTTTACCTGGAACCCCACCCCTATGCCTTATATAGACACCTCTAAGAATTCCCTACCAGACAACACAGACACCACACCCCTAAGATCCAGACAGGGCAGCAGAAACAAATGAACAAGACACCCACTCAAAGACAAGACGAGGTATCAGCACCTGTGATTACAATCATCCCAAACTCAGTTGCCTAGACTCCCGCGTAAAAACACAGTAACAGCCAGGACAGTGTCTTCACTAGAGCACAGCAACCCTACCACAGCAGCCCGATGAGTATTGCAATGGAGCTGAAGCTCAAGAAAATGACCTTAAAATAGCCTTTGTGAATACGATAAAGATTCTTAAAGAGGAAGTACATAACTCTCTGAAAGAAATCTGTGAAAATAGAAACAGTGGAAGGAAATGAATAAAACCATTAAAGACCTGAAAGTAGAAATAGAATTAATAAAGAAAACTTGGGAATTTTAATAGGAACCACTAAGGCAAGCCTCACCAAAAGAGAATCTCAGGCACTGAAAACATGAAAGAAGAAATGGTTATATCATTTAAAGAAAATAGTAAATCTTAAAAAAAAAAAAAATCCCCTCAACAAAGGAGTGGATACAAAAATTGTGGTACATTAAATTAAAAGCAATTAAAAACAAGGAAATGATGAAATTTTCAGGCAAATAGTGGGATCTAGAAAAGATCATCTTGAGTGAGGTATCCCAGAAGGAGAAAGACACACACGGTATATACTCACTTATAAGTGGATATTAAACATATAATATAGGATAAACATAATAAAATCTGTACACCTAAAAAAGCTAAGCAAGAAGGAGGACCCTGGGTAAGATCATCAATCCTCACCCAGAAAGACAAACAGGATGGACATTGGAAGAAGGAGAAAACAGGAAACAGTACAGGAACCTAACACAGAGGGCCTCTGAAAGACTCTACCCAGCAGGGTATCAAAGCAGATGCTGAGACTCATAACCAAGCTTTGGCCAGAGTGCAGGTAATCTTATGAAAGAAGAGAGAGATAGTAAGACTTGGAGAGGACAGGAGCTCCACAAGGAGAACAACAAAACCAAAATATCTGGGCACAGGGGTCTTTTCTGAGACTGATACTCCAACCAAGGACCATTCATGTATATAACCTAGATAACCTAGAACCCCTGCTCAGATGTAGCCCAAAGCAGCTCAGTATCCAAGTAGGTACTCTAGTAAGGGGAACAGAGGTTGTCTCTGACATGAACTCAGTGGCTGGCTCTTTGATCACCTCCCCCTGATGCGGGAGCAGCTTTACCAGGCCACAGAGGAGGACAGTGCAGCCAGTCCTGATAAGCCCTGATAAGCTAGGGTCAGATGGAAGGGGAGGAGGACCTCCCCATCAGTTGACCTGGAGAGGGTCATGGGAGGAGATGAGGGACGAAGGGTGGGCTTGGGAGGGAATGGGGGGGGCCTCAGCTGGGATACAAAACAAATAAACTATAATTAATATTAAAAATAAAAATGAAAACAACAATCCTGGCACAGTTGTTGGGGTACATTGTGTGAAGGTGTGTTTTTATATATTCAATTGTTGATTGTTAAACTGGCAGAAAGAAAAGTACTAGCCAGATCTTGGTATTGTTATTTCTATGGCCCATCACTGGGAGGAAGAAGGCAAAGGTAGAAGATTCACCAGAGGAACAGGAAGGTGAATGGACAGAAGTGACAGGAGCAGAGAGGTAGAGCTGGCCACATGGTAGGATGTAGTGCCAGGATTAGTAGGGTTAAGCTAGATAAGTAGCTAGGAATCTGCCAGCTAAAGATCTAAGCCTCTGTGTCATTAGTTTCACACAGGCCTGAAAGTTCTGCTACACACAATACATTCAGGAAATCTG